AATGGCACCCGATTTGTAGAATGACTATTACTATCTAAAGAATAGACTGGAATACAGTAGTATTTATGTGTTTGATGTCAAACACATCACAAGAACCGTCCATGCACTGGAAAACGCTCTTAAAGCCCCCCTTTGATCATGCGTCACTCTAATACTGATGTAATTCGTAATTATGATTACTTGTAATGTGACACGGAACTTCACAACTTGAGCTCTCAAGAGCGTGTTTGTTTCATTTCTTTCATTGTAGGGAAATAAGCTGGGGCAAGTTCAAAGCACAAACACATATGGATACAAATTAATTCATGCTTGTGAATAGCAGAAGAAAAGACATGAAAAAAGGGAAAGATGAAAGGATGCTTGATGGAATTGAAACCAGTCTGGACTCACATGAAATTAAGCTGAACAGAGAGAGACATACAGAATTTGCAATGGCATATAAGAGTGAGTTCAGGCTGGGAAGTGAGAAGCATAACTATAACAGTACAACAGTCTGTAACTTCAACAGAAGGGCAGAAAAAACAAATTTAATTACGATATAAATGTAGGCTGAGGAAATGGTTTGTGCTGATTTAATGTTAATAAAATAAAATTCGTATATTATAATATTGATCAAATTCCATCATTCCTCTAAGGGTGTACTCACACTAGCCAGTTTGAACCGTGCCCGAGTGCGTTTGACCACCAAAGCGCGGTTCGTTTGACTAGTGTGAGTGCTCCGAACCGTGCTCGTGGCTCGATTAGCCGGCCCTGGCCCGCTTGGAAGAGGTGGGCCAGAGCACGGTTCAGTTGGACTCGGGCGCGGTTCGCATGCAGTGTGAGCGCTAACCGTGCTGGAGCACGGAACAGGACGCGTGACGTCATGGTTTAGCAGCACGATTACGTGAAACGAGCGATTACGATTACGAGCAGCACGATTACGTGAAAATTTTCGCGCCACTAAGGCGACACATCTGTTTAACAACAGGCTGTGAGACCACCGTCGACCAAACGACACAAAATTATCCACAAAGAAAACAGAGCGATGGACTCCATTGTGTTCAGAGAGCGCCGCTCTTCTTGTTTATCCCGAAACCGTCGCACCATAATGACGTAAGCGTGCTCCGGCACGAATGTTGAAACCCTATGTGAGTGCAGGCCAGAGGGGGAGTGGGGAGGGGGGACAATCGTACTCGGGCCCGGTTCATGGCAACTGTGCCTAGTGTGAGTACACCCTTAGTAAAATATTTTATTTGAAATCTCTAATGCTCATCAAGGCTGCATTTATTTGATAAAAAATACAGTAATATATATATAATATTGGAAAATATTACAATTTAAAATAATCAAAATATTTAACGGAAATATTTTTATAAAATGACCCAGCTCATGGTTCTTCCCCCTTGGACTGTTTAAATAGGAAAGAAGCATTTCCCAAAAAAAGGAGCTGTCGTGGCCTAGGTGTAAATCAGACTAAACATAAATACTGCAGCAGTGAGGCTGTTCTGCTCTCAGGTCAGCCAAGGCAAACGAGTAAACGCATGTCTATTGGAATGGAAAAGAGCTTGTGTAGTTTAGCAGCGGGAAAGGTTATGAGCAAATTATCTTGAATGAATGAACGTCAGTACTGTAATTCCAACTCAAGCCAAACCTGGTCAAGGTAACATGACCCAAAGACTGGAAGGCATATCCATGCTGTCCCAAACTTTCTGCCCCTCCCTTATCCCACCTACCACGCACCTCCGCAGTCTTGGGTTGGCTTACGAGTGTAATTTTGATACAATTATCCATTTAGGTGAGGAGGACGCTGGCTAAACTGCAACACATGTAACCTGTGGCCTGCAAACAAAGAACAAAAGGCCACTGCTGGAAGCTCTCCACTAGTCCCCTCATAAAACAGGCAGCCCAAACCACCGTCTGAGTATAGAAGCCACACTCTCTCCCCACTGCGTCCGTACAGTATGGCCTCCTATACGATATAGGTGAGAAATGCAGACAAGAGGGATCCAATGCCAGGGAACCAGGACTCTACAACAGCGCAATTGTGTGTAGACTCTGTTACTGTTGGAGGCAAACTTGAGATCTTCAAATCCACTCACGGAGACATATATCCAAAATAAATTTAAACTCTCACAATATAGACAATTATGTTGTGGAGAAAAGCCTCAGATCCCTCGCCCTGGACTCCTGCAAAGCAGCGCTGGGAGAAAACAATGCTGGCAGTGTGTGTTGCACTTCAGAAACAGCAGGGGTGCAGGGTCTGGGACCACCGCGGGGGAAAGAGGGAGAGGCCCAGGAGCTGTGGGACATTTTAAAGTACAGCACTTTATGACACGGAGACTGATTCATTTGACTTCATGACACGTCAGTGAATGTGGGAATGGTCAACATGAGATGATGGTGAAGCAATTCTTCAACAGCTTCCAACACCCTCTGATAAACAACACCTTTACTCTGACCTTTAAAACCCAATATGCCATTCTTACAAACCCACATTCCCAGAGTTCCTCGTGCCAGATTGCAAAAAAGTACTGAATATGTGAGCAACATTGGAAAGCAAGTTAACGATCCTATTAAAATGCCTTAAAGCTGTAAAGCAGGGCTAATCTCTGTCTATATTTAACACTTGAGTTGTTGTTCTCATGTACAATTGCAGACATGATTTTGAAAAAAAAAAGTGTTTCTATTTACACATGTGAAAAGCACAAAGACTTTTCAGTGACTGTGGTCAGGAAAAACCGAAAGCTTAAATTATAGCCGTTACCTCAGCTTAGGTTTATTGCCAACTGATTTCACCAAGCCATCAGCTGTCTGGTTTGATAGGGGCACAATATCAACTAAAAGCTAAAATTACACTTTCATGAGGAATTATGTGGGGTATAGATTGCACAGACATTAAAATACGAGGGCACGGTTCTGCCCATGCTTGCCGTGAGTGCAAATCCTGGTGCAGATTAGATCCGCTCTGATGACAACAGGTGCTATTTAATGTCACCAAATTCCTCAGTCCTGATACAATCAGCCCTGGCTGGAGTTTCCCGGTTGTGTTTTTGGTGTACGGTACATTCATCTACATTAAGTAGCTGCTTCACAGGAGGATCTCTGAAAAACACCTGTCATGGGTAATTCTGTAATTTGCTATGCTCTTCAATTTATGTAAAATTGGCAAAACCTTTCTTAAAAAATTGTATTACTACTTTCATCAGAGTTTCATTCACATTGACATTTACATGCACATAATGTTCTGAAGAGAGTAGTGAATGTGATGATGCTTTAGTAACTATGCACAGCAATCAATTCATTGATTCTCATTCATGTCCTTCACAACTGCACACAAAAGCTCAATAAACAGCAAAAATGTATTTTGCTTGAAAGACAACTAGTTTAATAAATGCTTCTTTTGAAAATTAAAACTTAAATGTTTAACTTACCTTCACGTTGTTCTAAACCTGAATGAGTTTCTGCTGTGGAACAAAAACAAAACAAAAACGGAAACATTCTTCAAAATATCTTATTCTGTGTTCCACAGAAGAAAAAAAGTCATACAGGTTTGAAACAATATGAGGGTGACTTAAAAATGTACATTTTTGAGTGAACTATACCTTAAACTCTTCTGAGGCAGGGCCCACTAATCTTTACTGAAAAACAATGGTGTTTCTTAACCATTCTTCAGTTAATTAATAGTGGCACTCCCTTCAGCAAAAGTCACAGCTTTAAACACTCAAACACTGCAACAGGAGGGTCTAATGGGCCTTTTGTTTTGGAGCTGTTGGTCATTGCAGTTAATGACTTCAGTAAACTCTACAACTATATTCCAAAGGGAGTGAAGCAGTCCAATGCACCATAACTCTGAGTTCCACAGAGCTCTTGGGGACGAAACAGGAAAACAGCAGGCCGTCATCACTCCCCATACAGGAGGCCCAAAGCAAAGACATGAAGGGGAGGGAACCTGAGAACACTGGCTCGGCCAATTAAGCAGCTGCCTCGTTTAGCAGAATAATCATCCTTTACATCCGTACACTAGTTGCCTCGGTAGCCTCCCCAAACGTGGCAAGCTGTACAGGAAGAGCCGAGGGCTTCTGGGTCCTCAAGGCCTCTCAACTTTGCTGGACCAGTTCAGATTTATGGCAGAGAAGGCGGCAGGCCGTCTCTGTCTCCTCTCCCTGTACAGAATGTTTCGCTGGAAATGCCTGCCCCACAGTCCCTCAGCAGTCATCAGGAGAACCACACGCTCCGAGCTGCAACGGTCCAGCACAAACCCCCGATTGCTCCAACCAGTCTCACAACAGCTACATGACTCTCTACACCTCATTTTCTTTCTCCTTTCATCCATCCATCCATCCATCCATCCATCCATCCATCCATCCATCCATCCAAAAAGGTGTGTATTAATTTCCTTGCCTGTCAGGTTCTAATGGGAAAAAAAGTCTCAACTACCTGGGTAAAAGTACGAACATGGAATTAAATTACGGCCTACATAAACAACTGCAGGCATTGTGTAACGGATGACATGAAGCCATCCTTTGTGCTCTAGATTTTATAATGCAAAATTGCATCAGCGCCATATGCTCCAACAAATGCTAACAAGTCATAAATTTCAATCAGTACAATGCTCTCTTGTGCTTTTCTAGTTAAAGTTATGTACATGAAATCATGCTTGCTTTAAAGTACCTAGCCAGTCACGTCAGTTTAGTCAAATATGATTTGGGAGCAGCTATATGAGCCAGACTGCCTTCCTGTGCACCCATTAGCTTTTTGTGAGGGCATCTAAAAGATCCCCAGCTCTTTTTCGATTTCAGTTGAAAACTCATGCTTCAGTTCTGCTGTTTTGAGATGCCATCTGTCTAGTTGGGGCACTATCCCCTTAAAAAAACTACCTCAAACTGTAGTGTGTGTGCAACGGTGCAGGTTTTGATTAAGCCTGGATGACTGATGTGGCCTACAAATGCTCTGGGTGTGCAAAAGTATAAAGAACTGAGATATAAAGGGTTGTGGTGTATGGCGTGGGAGGCAGTCTTTACCAATTACAATGAGTGTGAAGTTGAGGGCGAGGCTGCCAAATCCATTGGTGACGCGGCAGATGTACTCTCCGGCATCCTCCAGTTCCACTTCTTTGATCTTCAGACTCTTCCTCAGAACCTTGTAGCGGCTCCAGCCTGGGTTCACGTTCCGCCCATCCTTCACCCACAGGACCAGCGGAGGGGGGTCACCCTCCACAGGGCATGGAAGACGAACCGTGTGGCCCAGTTTTGCAGTCTGTCTGTCCTCTATTTTACGACTCACCCATGGAGGACCTGGTGCAAAAAAAAAAAAGTCTTAAGTAAAAGAACAGCATTTGTTCAATTTACATAACAAATAATAACCATCTACCTAAACATATAAACATATAAAAAAAATTATATATATAAACTAAAACAGTATTTTTTTTATTTGAATGTGCATTATTTTCCATATGTTAGGTAGATGGTTATTATTTGTTATGTAATGTAATTTTAATGTATTATTATTTTGTAGAGTTTTGTTTTTGAGCAAAACACACCACAAAAACATGTTGATATTTTATACACATATACACACACACACACACACACACACACATACTGTATATATATATATATATATTACAATAAAATATGTTTTTGTGGTGTTTTGCTTTAATAAATATAATAAATTCTTTAATAATAGAGAATTTTAAAGCTGCAGTCCGGCGTTTTTCCTCTTTGTCACCATCTCCGTTTGAAATCTGCAATTGCAGTCATTCGCGGAATTATCAATTTTACGTGAGTTGTACTTCAACACCCTCGACACAGCACAGCGCGGATGAACACAATGTTTGAGGAGAGTGTGCTGTGCAGCTGTCAGTCACCGCGCCGGTGTGGATAATGGCATTCAGAATCACAGATTATTCTTTTTGGAAGTATGACCAACATTAGAATTTTCACCAGAAAATGTCATCTGAACTAGTAAGAAACATCCACTTTTGTTCTGGTTCTGACATTGCAGTAAATCACGCTGATTAAATCTAACAATCGCTTATAAGTTATCATATCACGCAAAACCGTGCAAATTATACTTTGAACCTTTCTGGATCCGCCATCAAATTTATAAGTTTAATTATATCAAGTGCTGTGAGAAAAGGCTATGAATCTCCACCTCCAGCATCCTCACACGCAATATAGCCTACTAGCCGAGACTCCTTCTTTATGTGTACAGATGTGACGTAATGACGCAAAGACATGCTCAAATCTCCCGGAAATCCACCAGTACCACTGGAATTAAAAACATTATTACAAGCTTACCGCTTTGAATCGAGCTAAGGCAAGCAGATAGTTTTGAACACTGGCTGGTTATGTATTTTCTCAAATATGTATTTTGGATAATTTTTAACCCCAAAAAAGCTACGGACTGCAGCTTTAAAAGTGAAATTTAGAATAATAAAATACATTTTTATTTTTTAATATTTCATATTTTTAATGATTGTTTGTGGTGCATTTTCTTTAATAATAATTAATACATTAACAATTTGAATAAATGTATTATCAAAACAAATAATAATATTATTATGATTAAAATAATATTTGTATTTTATGGTGCATTTTGCTTTTAAAATTAATTTTGTTATAAGACTATTATAAGACTAGCAAAGTATAAAAAAAGATTCATACGCCTTGTGATCTGAAATGTTCCTTTGCTGTCATTAGGGCACAAGAAGCGCAAAGTCAACACTGCCAAAAAATCTCTGACATGAAGAAAATATTTTTCTCCAGCTCCTAATACACCATGTCCCACAAAGAAATGTTATAAGTGGGGAAGTTAGGCACAAGCATTTTATGGGGAATTTCTTTCCTTGTATGCACAAGGTCCTTTTCATCCCCTCCTTGCAGCTTGTGAAGACTCCCATGAGCACTTGCTTTCCATTTCCTTCATACTGGCTTGTGTGTACGTTGGAAGGCACCTCTCATTCATGCCTGGTACTGTCACATCCTGTTGCTGCTCTAGCAGCTGCTGTGAGAACCACCAAGATTATAAATTGAAAAATGACACTAGCCCTAAATGTACTTTTTTCTCTCTTTTTTTTTCTCCTTCAAGTCTCTCTGCTGGAGTGAAGTGTTTTCACCTGAAGTTGCTGGTTGCCATCCAGGAAAGTGCCATGAGAAAAGACGGGAGGGAAAAGAAAAGGTTGTTTTGGTGCTGGAATTAAATTACAGTAAATTCCAGAATGTTAGACTAAGAAGGGCAGAAAAATTCCTATCTGGAAATAGAGCAGAAAAAAAAGGTGGAACTGAACATCACAGTTGGAGAGAAGTCTATGTTAGATGAATCACGTAACTAATTCACACATGTAAGTGTATAAAACAATTGGTGAGTTAATAAACATTCGGGAGGCATTGGAAAGGAAAACAGTTGTGTTTATAAAGAAGATTTCATGAAATTGGTGGGATCCTCGAACAAACAATGGGTCTTTTCACTAGCGGAGAAGAGATAAGGGCTATTGCATGGACCATGTGAGATAGATCTTATGAACCTGGTGGCTGAATGAAGAGGGGAACTCTTGAGTGTTTGCTTAAGAATATTAAAAACCTAGTGAATACCATAGAGCAGAAGCTGAAATAGCTCATTCCCTTTCCGCTAACAGGCCACGCTTTACACACGGCATCCATCACACACATGATAAAGAATGTGTTTGAAGAAAAATGTGACTCAGAGAGATTCAAGGAAAGAACGCTTGAGACTTCCTTAAATTGCGCTCTTACCTATTTGTCACAGATCTGTGTCTAAGCTGACTGAAAAGCTTTGATGTGAGGCTGAGGGAGGCGTCATACGTGCTGACAGACAAATATTGCCCATAACAGTGGAAAAGACAAAAGATGACAGGGGCCACACACACAAGCTGATGGCAGACAGGGTGGCAAAAGAAATCTCCTATCTGAGTTGGAAATAACATCACTGTGTGCTGAGAATCAGAGTTTACCTCAAAGGCAGATGTTTAGGCAGAGAACAAAGTATTTTCGGTTGATTTGTTGTTTAGCATGCTGACAGTACCTAAAATGTTAGGTAAAATGTCTCTAAAAGCAATCCCTTTGCAGCACCACAGTTACAAAATTATATTAAAGCTTACGATTTTTTGTTTATTTAGTTATAAAAAAATAAATAAATCTGGATGAACTAGTAGTAATCAACTACTAGTTCAAGTGTGACAGTAAACTTTCTTTTTTTAAATAAATGCTGTTCAACAATAAAATCCTGAAAAATGTATATTGATCATGTGACACTAAACACTGGAGTAATGGCTGTGGAAAGTTAATTAAAAAAATCTATAGCTATTATAAACTAATAATATTTCTATGTTTTACAGTATTTTTGATCAAATATAAATGCAGCTTTGGTGAGCATAAAAAAAAAAAACTTCTTTCAAAAACATTATAAAATCTTAATACCAACCTTAAACTTTTGAAAGATACTTCGTTTTGGTAAGCGGTTTTCAATAGCTGAGGCGACAGGGGATTTGGGAACTTGCATGCGGTTTAATATTTTCGAGTCAATTAATTTCACCTACCAATCATATGAGAGGAACGCGGCAGCTCTAACACGTTACAAGCCTATCACAGTCAGAGACCGGCGTGAAGTTGGCCCCCCACCCAATGCAAAACGTCGTCAAAATATGCCCAATCGTTTGTGCTGTAAAAAGTTTCGCTTGTCCTGCTTCGGTTTTTTAGATATTAAAAGAATATTTTTAGGTCATTCTGAGGTCACTCAGCCCCCCCAACATGATCCAAATTCACCCAAAATAGTCTCATTCGTTTGTGCTTCGTTTGTGCTGGTTTGTGCCGGTAAAATTTTCGTTTGTGCTGCGTCGGGTTTTAAAATATTAGACATTAAATTATTGTTAATGACGTCACCAGCCCCCCACATGATCCAAATTCACCCAAAATAGTCTCGTTCGTTTGTGCTTCGTTTGTGCGGTAAAAAATTAGTTTGTGCTGCGTCGGGTTTTAAAATATGACATTAAATCAAATTATAAATGTTATTTATTAGGCTACAAGCTGACTGAATAAAATAGATAATTGAATTGGTCACGAAGATCAAAAATAGTTAGTAATGGTTATTCTGGTTACTTAGGCTATTTCTAAGACATGTCTGTCATGATTCTGCCCTCGTGTCCTTGATTTTCTCTTGTCTTGAGGCAGGATCATGACAGAATCATGTTTTGTGTGCAAGCACATGGTCTTGTGTATTGAGCCATGTGCTTGTGTTGTCTCGTTACGTCACCCCGCCCCCTTGTTATCCTCATCTCGTCATTATTGTCTAGTCAAGTTTCACCTGTCCTTGTCTAGTCAGCTTCACCTGTCTTTGTCATTAGTGTCTCCCTATTTAATCCCCTTGTGTTTGCTGTCCTGTGTCGGTACATTGTCAAACATAGCGTGTTAATCTCTGTGAGTGTTTCATCTGTATCCAGTTTAATGAGAATTGTGAGTTTGTTTTGTTGTTTGTTTCCTGTCAAGTCAGAGTCTTAATTTGTCATCTTGTCTTAGTCAAGGTAAACTATTTCCAGTCCTGTTTTGCCCCCTCGTGGGTTTTGTTTTCTGTTTTGTGTCGTAATAAACCTTGAGTGTCTGCATATCGTCTGCGTTTGGGTTCTCTCCTTCAACTTCATGACAGAATGTACCGACCATCAAAGAACCCAGCAGACAGTATGTCCTTCCAATCGGAGTTCCGGGAGCGATGCTGGTCTTCCGCACCAACCAACGGTGAACGGGTCATTTGCCCTATCCCGTCCCAGGGTGAGCAGATCATGAGGGAATATGCCCGTCTATGGGATCTCTTTTCCCGGGAGGATCTGCAGGCCTCTTCCACGGGCTCTCCACCCTCTGCTAGTCTGCCGGTGATCCCGGAGGGTCGTGTTATAGGCGTCGCGACGCTTGGGGACCAGGCTGGCTCCCTCACGACTCCTGGCTCTTCATCTACCCCCTTCAGTCTTCGTGGAAAACGAAGAAGACGGCTGTCGTGGGAGTCGGCGTCAGAGTTCTCCTCCGCAGAGTCTGCTGTACCTGCGGTGGTTTCCGCTGAGCTTCCCCAACCCGTCTCAGCTCCGGCGATGGTCTCTGCTTCGCGACCTAGGAAAAAGAGTAGGAAGAGGGGAGCCTCCCGTTCTTCGCCCGCTGCAGTCCCAGAGCCCGCTGCAGTCCCAGAGCCCGCTGCAGTCCCAGAGCCCGCTGCAGTCCCAGAGCCCGCTGCAGTCCCAGAGCCCGCTGCAGTCCCAGAGCCCGCTGCAGTCCCAGAGCCCGCTGCAGTC